TAGATATTTAAGTCTAGGATCCAATATAACAATTCACAACTAAGAAGAAGGATATCGTAATCTTATTGTGAAGTTATAAAGGTAGGTAAAACAATTCACCAATTTCAATCTATGAAATTATGAGATCTTTTGAGATTCATTTAATCTTATCAATAACATGTTTAATCTCAGATTATGTTCTTCTATTTGTGACTGGGATGCCGACGATCACAAGCAATATGTGAATAACCATGCAAACACGCTTGGTAACCTCGATGTCATTTATCATCTCTAATTAATGTGTGGGTTAACCACACACACTCCATTAACAATGATAATTTTCGAGATGCCCATCATTTCTCTTTAAGGTCCCTATTAGTGTGCCGGTTAACCACACATGCTCCACTAATGACATATTAGATTATGATGTGCGTTTTCATGGATTAGCATATTTTCATATTTTCCTAAAGTAACTAGAGTGAGATTTTTAAAGAAAGGTTCTACTACTTTTGATATCATTATACTTTTAATAAGATTATGTCTTATCAAAACTGTTCAGATAACGACCCTCCACCATACATGAGTGGTGGGTGAGAATAAACACCTATTCAACGACCATTTTATAGGTCGCTTCCTTATACCCTCTTTATAACATGGTTTCATGAATGAGACCTACTATTGATTTGATTGATTTTTCTTATACATATAATAATTAAACTTCTATATATATATATATATATATATATATATATATATATATATATATATATATATATAACTTTTCAAAATACAAGGTTTAAATATTAATTATCCAAATTAAACATTTTAATTAATTAATATTAAACTAATTATGATTTATCTTTATTTTTTAATTAATTAATTAATTAAATTAATTAAAACATCTAGGGATTAAATAATTATTAAAATTAAACAATTAATAAAAAATAATTCAAATTTAATCATAATCCAAACCCTTATGATTTTGAAACTTAGGGTTGTGTTTATTAGGTTTTATTTATTCAAATTTGAAAGCTTTTAAAATAATAATTAAGTAAACAACATAAAACCCTAAAGGAACTCTCCATTTTCTAAAATAGGGTTAAGTAAGATAGGGTTTCAAGAAACCCTAGCAAAATCAAAAATCCATGTTCATTAGGGTTTAATATATATAAACCCTAATTTTGATCTATTCAATATTATGCACGCTCAAATAGAAAACTATGACTCTGATACTACTGATGAGTTTTATATGTTATAATTAAAGCATGAGGTGGAAAAACTTAACCCTTAAGTTCACATGCAACATATTAGGATCTAAGTTTTCTCTATTGATAGCAATACTCTATGAACATCAAGAACCCTAAAGAAACCCTACTATAATCAAAATTTAGAATGGATTAGGGTTTACATACCTCTTGATTATTATTGCAAATAACCAATTAATTCCTTCTTCGAAAATCTCTTAGAAAGCAAGCACCAGAAATCTAATGCCTCTGATGGTTTGTACTAAAACCCTGACAATTAGAACAATTGAGGAGAGAGGAGAGGGGATGAGATTTTTAACTATCCTTATTAGAATTAGAGTGGCCAAAAATCATAGGGCTAAGGTCCTATTTATAGTTGAAATAAGGACCCATGAAACCCTAATTTGGATATAATTCTATTATTTTCAAATTAGGTAATTATCTCAATCCCTAATTATCCTTATTGAATATTTTAGAATCCCTAATATCCCCTTCAAAACCCTCCAAGGGGTTGGAAGGTTCTGGAACACCTTCTTGTTTAACTATTGAACAATTATAGCTTAGGTACTTGCACTTTTAATTAATCCTAAAATTAATTTATAATTAATTTCTGATTAATTATTAATTAAATAATAATATTTCTAATTAATATATTAATCTCATAATACATTAACAAAATTTTCATTGCTATTTATTAATCATATAATAAATATAACACCTTATTTTGAGTTGTTTCTTAGTTCAGGGTTGTGGTCCAAAGATCAGTTGTTATAAGGCTTCAGGCCTTGGGGAAAGAGAAGTTTAGACCCATTTGGATGTGGGTAATGTAGATTTTGTGATCCAAGAGTTTGGTTTGTGCTTTGGAGCACAAGGGTATTTTGGTAAAGTAATGGTTCGAACCTTTTATTGAATTTAAGAATTTTAGTTTGATATGTTTAAAGTCAAAAGTAAATAGATAGGGTTGTAGAGCTTCTCAACACCTTTCTGTGGATATAAGGATCGTTGAAAACAGAGTTGGAACAAAGAAGTTATGCTTGTTAGAAGTTATGAGGATTTTGGACTAAACCAAGAACGTTGGGTGCAAGAGGAATGTACGTTGGGCGTTCATGGTTGGGTGATCATGAAGGTTCCTTCAGGAATGTTGAGCGTTCGCGGCCTAGACTAAAACCCTAAATTTGGGTCTTGGACCCTATTTAAAGGCCTTAACCCATTTCCAAACCTCCTTACCTTCAACATCCACCCTTTTAAGCTCTTTACTCGAAACCCTAGCCTCATATGGAAGATTATTGAGCTTTTGAGTGATTTTGGTGTACTTAGAAGAAGAATTCATTGGAGAAGAGTTGGATTGCTTAGAGATTGTGGATCCTAGCCTAGTTTTCCTTGATTTATCTTCTGAAGGTAAAAAGTCTCAAACTTGATGGTTTATTTGTTAGATCTTGCTTGTGAGTGGGTTTTTGTGCTTTTTGGTACCATGAGTTGACTCTTGAGAGTATATGCTACTCCAGAAGTTTTGGGCTGCTTATTTTTACTGCTTTAAAGGCCCCTTGTTCATAAAGTTTGTATATTGATGGTTGTGGACCAACCATGCATGGGTTGTTGATCTCTTGGTCAAGCCAGTAGACTATATTTTGGTTTTTGGTTTCTTGGAGCCATGCAAAGGCATCAAGTTGATGAGTTTATTGATTAAGACACCCATTAGAATTAGATCTGAGCCTTGGGTGTAAAGTCTTAAAGTATTAAGCACATTTAAGAAAGTCCCAGGTCATTTTGTTATGTCTAAAAGCTTAGGTTTGGTGTTGGGCTTTATTAGGTCATGCTAGGTCATAAAGTCAGGAACTTTATGACTCTAGACATTCATTAGGCTTTAACCTGATGATTTGATCTTTTGGCCTTATAGGAATAAGACCTAAAAATGGAGTTAAGGTTTGAGCATCGTACGACGGGGGTATTGAGGTGGTACGCAGGACGTACGCACCGAGGTGCCTTAATGGGCCTTTTAGGGTTTTGGGCCATGAGTTGTTGGGTCGGATGTGGGAAGGGTAAAATAGTCTTTTACCCATTGATATTATAGAGTATGAATTGGACTTTGGACTATGGAAAATTCCTTAATTATTGTTTAGGGATAATTTGGATGTGTTCAGTGTGAAGTGCTGGGAAGCAGCACCGAATGTGATTTGTTATCTTTAGACTGAGGTGAGTTTCCTCCACTGTACTCGTGGGTCGAAGGCACCAATTCCGGTTAAAAGATATCGAAGGGGGGGGGGGGTGAAATAGACCCAACTATGCTTTAACTGTTATGTATATATGATATGGGGTATTTTGGGAAAGTTCACTAAGCTTTGTGTTTACGGTTTTCAGTTTATGTTTCATGTATTTCTAGCTCAAAAGGGAAGGGCCTGACTTGATCGCACAACAATCGCCCATGTTTTCCGCATTATGTGATTTTAGGATTTTGTACTCTGATGTTATTTCACTATGATACACTTTTAGTTGTTTTGACATGTTTGTTGGATGTTTTGAAATGAAATAAAAATAAAATTTTTGTATGAAATTTTGAGATATTACAATAAACCAATAAATCAACCTTTATCTCCAAAAGTCATTCTAGTCAATAACTAACTTTGAGGGCAATTTAAAAGGACTTTGCTTTTAATACAAGTATATACCAATTTAAGGGCATGAACTCGTTACTTGCATACATGACTCATAAAATGGTTGCTTAATTGGTATTTGTTACTGGACGTGTTTTGTTGGGAAAATTAGGTTAACATTTGAAATGTTATTTTCTGTCTTAAAACCCATGTACTCACGAGACAATTTTGTCTCATTAGAGCTGATAATGGTCGACCTGAGTTGGGTTTGGGTTGAACCCATTTATTAAATGAGTTGAAGACCTCAACCTAATTTAACATGTTTACTTAAATGAGTTGAGATTTAGAACCCAACCCAACCTATTAGATACATGAGTTGGTGTCAGGTCGACTCATTTATCTATTTTGATCTAATTCGTGATTGAGCCGCATGAGGTGTGATTGAGAAGTGAGGTCCACAATGTAGTGTTGTTAACACCATGATTAAATATATGAATTATAGTTGTATTTTTTAAAACATAAATAGTAATATAACATTATAACTAAAGTAGTATATATACAATTAAAATACATTTGACTCATGAACGGTAACATGTTTAGAGTTCTGTCTAATACTGCTTTTGTCTTTGGCTTTCACGATGGCTTCCCGGTTTATCTTTATTTAGCCTATCAAATTTTAATATTTCATCATAGACCATTGTATGTTTATTGACACTCATGAATTACATAACATTACTCACATTTTGAAATAATATCATATAAATTAATTATATATAAGGATCATGTACATAACAAAATAGCATCCATTAATATATACAAAACAAATATTTTTAATTTATGAACTTTCCAACGAATCGAGTAATCTGTTTTATGGTTAAAAGCATTTTTGTTACAACGATAAACAAATAAAATTTTAATGACATAAATTAAGTAATAGCACAAAATTGATTGTTATCATTTATACCTAAGTTTACGAAAATAGATTATTTTGTAAAAAATGCAAAAATACTAGGATTAACGTACAACATATTTTACTGAGTGTAGAAACAATATTACAGACAATTCCATTATCCCTTTTCCCAAGAATTCAAAAAGTTTAACTTCAAGTTTCCCGCTCACGCTTTCAAAATTCAAAATTCAAAATTCAAAACCCTAAACACTCCCGTGGATTCCTTTACAATTGAATCCACCACCACCTGCACCCAACACCATTAAACCCCTTTCCCCACCTCTACATCTCATATTTCCGGCATCTTCTTTCTCTCTGCAGACACCATCTCTGTGTCTCTCTCTACACACGAACAGCCATGGTGACAGAAAAACGCCAACCACTGCAATCGAGCACCACAGACAACATCCCACCACCTACCAAACCCGCCGCCACCAAAGCCGGGAGAACCATTGAAGAAACTTATCAGAAGAAGACTCAACTCGAGCACATCCTTCTCCGGCCCGATACTTACATTGGATCTATCGAAAAACATGAACAGACGCTTTGGGTATGGGAGGATGATCAGATGGTGAAAAGATCTATCTCGTACGTCCCTGGACTCTACAAGATCTTCGACGAAATTCTCGTGAATGCTGCGGATAACAAGCAGAGAGATCCTAAGATGGACTCTGTTAAGGTCACGATCGATGTCGAGAAGAATTTGATTAGCGTGTATAATAACGGCGATGGAATTCCGGTTGAGATTCATCAAGAGGAAGGTGTTTATGTGCCTGAAATGATTTTTGGTCATCTACTGACGAGTAGTAATTACGACGATTCCATCAAGAAGACTACTGGTGGGAGAAATGGTTATGGTGCGAAGCTTGCTAACATCTTCTCCACTGAGTTTACACTCGAGACTGCAGATGGGAAGCGTAACAGACGTTACAAACAGGTATCATTTCAACAATACATGATACGAGATCTATATCCACTACAGATCTGATTACGTGCTTTCATGAGATTTAGGGTTCTTAGTCTTTACGGTTTAGGCTTTTAATGAAATTGTTACGATCGGTTAGGTACAGATCTGTCATACATCATCATTTCCTTGTTGTTTCCTGAACTAGGGCTTCGAATGCATAAAACTAACGGTTTAGGCTTTTACTGAAATTTTTATGATCGGTTATACATAGATCTGTTATACATCAACACTTTGTTGTTTCCCAAGCTAGGGTTTCCAATACATAAAACATCAGACACAAAATTCAAAGAGATGCCAAAATTGAACTGAATTTTTCTTATGATAAGAGTTCCTGTTTAGGGTTATTACAGCTTTTATATCGTTGTTTCATTAGAGTATATTTATAAGCTAAATCTGTTCCATTTGTCTCTGGTTTAGGTGTTCTCAAACAACATGGGGAAGAAATCTGAGCCAACCATAACAAAGTGCAAGAGTGGTGAAAACTGGACAATGGTTTCATTTAAGCCTGATTTAACAAAATTTGGCATGGAATGCCTTGAATCAGATGTTGTTGCTTTGATGAAGAAGCGTGTGGTTGATTTAGCAGGCTGCCTTGGAAAGAGTGTGAAAGTTGAACTTGATGGAAAACGTGTTCCTCCTAAAACATTTGAAGACTATGTCAAACTTTATCTACAATCATCTCAAGAACCCCTAAGGTACTTATTTCTTTTTAATTTAATTGGTAGCTTATGGATAGATACTAATAGTCCTATTCTTTTATAGGATTTACGAGAAAGTTAATGAAAGATGGGAGATTTGTGTTAGTATGGCTGATGGGCATTTTGAACAGGTGCTTTTTCTTGTCTTTTGTATTAAGCATTTAACTTCAGCTTATGTATTAAACATTTAACTCTTGATTTTTTATATTAAACAGGTGAGTTTTGTGAACAATATTGCTACAATAAAGGGAGGGACACATGTTGATTACATAACCAATCAGATAGCCAATCATCTTGTGGCTGTTGTCAAGAAACAGAACAAACATGCAACCCTCAAGGCCCACAATGTAAAAAATTACTTATGGGTATTTGTCAATGCTCTTATTGACAATCCTGCATTTGATTCACAAACAAAAGAAACATTAACAATCAAACAAAGCAGTTTTGGCTCCACATGTGAACTCACACCAGAGTTCTTAAAGAAAGGTATGCAAATAAAACACACTCAGTTTTCATTTCAGGATTTGATGGATTCAATAAAGTAAGTTCTTATTTTGTGATTCGTTTTTGCAGTTGCGAAATCTGATATTGTGAAAAAAGTTCTCTCATGGGTTCAGTTTAAACAGCATAATGATCTTAAGAAAACTGATGGAAACAAGAGGGGAAAACTCAACATTCCTAAACTTGAAGAGGCTAATTTTGCTGCTACAAATAATTCAGACAACTGTACTTTGATATTGACTGAAGGAGATTCAGCCAAAGCTTTAGCAGTAAGTTTTGTTGCTTATTATATCATCCTACCTTCATTTGCACAATACTTATTATTTTTTTTTGTTATTTCAGATGTCTGGATTGTCTGTTGTGGGACAAGATTACTATGGTGTGTTTCCATTAAAAGGTAAATTGCTGAATGTGAGGGAAGCAAGTCCCAAACAGTTGCAAGAAAATGCTGAAATTCAGAACATTAAGAAGATTCTTGGACTCCAACATGGTAAAGAGTATGACAATGTCAAATCTTTGAGATATGGTCACTTGATGATAATGGCTGATCAGGTAATTTTCCAAATTCTTTACATAACACATGTTAAAAATTCAAGAAGTATCAAATACAAAACTATTGAAAATGCCATTTTATTGAAAAGATTCAATTTTTTTTGTAGGATCATGATGGATCACATATTAAAGGACTGTTGATCAACTTCTTGCACTCATTCTGGCCATCTTTACTAAAAGTACCTGAGTTTGTACTAGAATTCATCACTCCAATTGTTAAGGCTACTCAAAAGAATAGTAACAATGTTATATCCTTTTACAATATGCCTGAGTATGAGGCATGGAAGGAAAGTCTAGGGTGCAGAGTAAAGAATTTCAAAATAAAGTACTATAAGGTTTGTTTCTTTGTATTCTTTTTCAATACTATAATGCTAAAGTTAGAAAGAAACAAACTGTTGGCTAATAATTTGTTACATTTAGGGGTTGGGAACAAGTAATGGTAAAGAAGGAGCAGAGTATTTTGCTGATCTTGATAAACATAAGAAGGATTTTGTTTGGGCTGATGATGAAGATGGTGATGCCATAGAGTTGGCTTTTAGTAAGAAGAAGATTGAAGCTAGAAAGACATGGCTTAGAGCACTTCAGGTTTGGATCTTTTGCAGCTTTTAAATATACATATACTTTTTATCACTTTGTTTATATTGCAATTTGTACATTCATTTCTCCCTATTAGGGAATTATGCTTTGAAAATCTATCAAAGTATACCTTTTTCTAACCATATACAAAAAAGGGAATAGTTTTCATGCACAAATTCTAAAATTTACTGGATCTTTCAAAGCATGGCATCTTACTAACATGCTACAAGTAGTCATTAAATGGACAAATGTTGCCATTTCTTGATTTAGTCTTATTAGTAATCATAAAAAATCGTTTCTTGTGAAGTTTTTGTGTTTTATTACAGTTTCTTTGAAGCATTTACCCCATTTAGTAATGATAATTTATTTACTTTTTTATACAGGCTGGGACATATTTTGATTCAAATGAGAAACATATCCCATATCGAGATTTCATCAACAAGGAGCTTATCTTGTTTTCAATGGCTGATCTTCAAAGATCCATCCCATCAATGGTGGATGGATTAAAACCGGGTCAAAGAAAGATTCTTTTTTGTGCTTTCAAGAAACCCATTTTCCAAGAAGTAAAAGTGGCTCAATTCAGTGGTTATGTATCTGAACACTCAGCTTATCACCATGGTGAAGCAAGTCTTGTGGGGACCATCATTGGCATGGCTCAAAACTTTGTTGGCAGCAATAACATCAACCTTCTTTACCCAAGTGGCCAATTTGGTACACGTCAGATGGTAAGTTAAATAAAATATAAAATATTGTTCCTTTTTCTATATCTACATATTTAAATTTTTTTGTTTACAGGGTGGAAAAGATCATGCAAGTGGAAGGTATATTTACACTAAGCTTACACCCATCACACGTCATCTTTTTAACAAGGCAGATGAACTTCTCCTCAACTACTTGAGTGAAGATGGACAATCTATTGAGCCTACATGGTATCTTCCAATTATACCCATGGTTTTGGTGAATGGAAGTGAAGGAATAGGGACAGGGTGGAGTACATTTGTGCCTAATTATAACCCTAGGGACATAATTGCTAACTTGAAACGTTTATTGAATGGGGAAGAAATGGTGCCAATGGATCCATGGTATAAATGGTTCAGAGGAACAATTCAGAAAACAGCATCAAAGGACACTGGATACACAACCACTGGAATTGTTGAGGAAGATGAGGACGAAAATACCCTCCGCATCACTGAGTTGCCAGTTAGAAGGTGGACACAGGAATACAAGGAGTTTTTGGAAGTTGCTTCAACTGCTGGAAAAGACAAAGAACCTTTCATAGAGGTAGATTATACTTTATACATAATTACAATATCCTTCGAACTTAATATTGATGTTTATTTTTTGTTGTAAATTTTCAGGAATACAATGCTCATAATGACGACACAACAGTGAATTTTCAAATAATAATGACTGCTGATCAAATGAACAAAGCAAGACAAGAAGGGCTGTTGAAGAAATTTAAACTCACTACTACTTTAAGCACAAGTAACATGCACTTGTTTGATGCAAATGGCGTGATAAAGAAGTATGACACCCCTGAGCAAAGTAAGAAAGAATATCACAAAATACAAAAATCTATCAATCTGTTTTCTGTTTTGGTTTATTGACTGTTTTACCCTTTGTGCTTACAGTTCTTGAAGATTTCTTTCCCCTTCGTCTTGACTATTATGAGAAAAGGAAGGCAAGTTCAATATCACCATGAAACAAATTATTTTTTTGTATGCATAGAAATGTACAAGTTTTTGACACGTGTGTTAATTACAGACAGCATTGCTTCGTGAGCTAGGGAAGATATCATTGACACTTGAAAACAAAGTGAGGTTTATAAAAGAGGTTGTGGAAGGGACACTTGTCGTAAGCAACAGAAAGAAAGCTGACCTGTATGCTGAGCTGGCAAAGAAAAAGTACACGCCGCTACCAAAAGAAGCTGTTATCGAAGCATCAATTGCAGGGGCTGTTGATCATGTTGAAGGAAGTGAAGAGACCGAAGAGGAGGAAACATCCGACGTGCCGATCGATGTAGAAGCGGCGGCGGCTGCCGCCAGCAAGACGATTCCGGGAACGGAATATGATTACTTGCTGTCAATGGCGATTGCGAGTTTGACTTATGAGAAAATGAAACAGTTGTGGAAGGAAAGAGATGAAAAGAAGGCTGAGTTTGATGAACTTACCAACACTCCTTCTAGATCTTTATGGTTGAAAGATCTTGATGCTCTTGATAAACAACTCGATGTAAGTTTTGTGAAAAAAAAATGTTATTTTATTTTATTTTAAATTTGGGTTTTGTTAAAAATTGAATCGTTTTTTGTGGGTGTTTAGGAACAAGACAAGAGAGATGCGAAAGATGAAGCGGAAAGAAAGAAACAGCAAGAAAAAGCAAGAGCTAAAGGTCCCGGTGGCCGGAATGCTAGGAAGCCGGTGAGAAGGGCACCGGCGCCGAAGAAACCCGCCGTCGCCAAGGCTGAACCGATGGAAATATCAGGTGGTTCTCCGGCTGAGACTGGTAATGCTCCTGCTCCGGCTCCGGCGAAGGGGAGGGGAAAAGCGGCGGCGCAAAAGAAAGCTCCGGCGAAGAGTAAGGGGAAATCGGTTTTGATCGATGAAGAAGAAGAAGAGGAAATACCTTCGTTGGCTCAACGTATGGCGAAGAGTAGTTTGAATAGTGTGCAAGATGTTGATAATGATGACATTGTTGAACTTGAAGATCGATTGGCTCGACATAATATCGAATCATCTCCTGATACAGCAGAAGGTATTGTTAATTTGATAATTTTTATTTTTATTTTCATATTGTGTTTATTTTGTGATGATTGATTTTTAATTTCGAATAATGGTAGTGGTGCCGAAAAAGAAACAACCGGCAAAAAGAGCTGCAGCGGCAAGGAAAAAGGCGACGACCATTATTTCCGATGATGAAGATGAAGATGAGGACGAAATTGAACTGAGCGATGATTCTGATTTTGAAATTGTGAAACCGCCGTCGGAGGAGAAAAAGAGGGGGAAGAAGCCGGCGGCTGCGGCGGCGGCAAAACCACCAGCGGGAGCGACGAAGAAAAGAGGACCTGCAAAGAAAAATCAACCAGCGGCTGGTGGGCAGAAGTTGATTGCGGAAGTGTTGAAGCCTGTGGTGGTGGCGGAGGCGTCGCCGGAGAAGAAGGTGAGGAAGATGAGGCCGTCGCCGTTTAATAAGAAAAGTGGGTCGGTGTTGGGGCGGATGAATAAGGATGATGACGATGATGATGAGGAGGAGATGGTGGTGGCGGAGAGTAGTGGGGTGGTGGAGGTGGCGGCGAAAGCGAGGCCAGTGAGGGAGAACAGAAAGAAGATGACGTATGTGTTGAGTGATTCCGAGGAAGAGGATGAAGATGACGATGATGCAACTGAGGATTCTGAGTTCGATGATGACGAGTGAGTGAGTAGTAGTAATGGAGGGGATCATCTTTTAGTTTGTAGGGAATGGTTGGAAAATTTATGCTTGTTTTCCTGTGACAATTTCTGTAGTTAATCATTGTGTTTGACAATTGACATGCATGCAAGTACTTATGAAGTTTATATATTTCGTAGATTCATCGCCTTTCTCAATTCCTGTCTACTATATCTATAAATATGAACATTAACTAATTTGTTAAAGGGAGTTAAAAGGTTGTTTTACTTTTCAGACATTTTTTTTTTGAGTTTTTTAAATTAAGTACAATATCGTTTTAGTATAAAAGTTAAAAAAAAGAATTGGTATCCCAAAATCTCTAACTCATTTTGACGTAAACATAGTAAATGTTCAGGAGTCTCATTTTGACGTAAACATTGAGGATTTCATACCATCTGATAACTATAATTCAGACAATATTGATTTCATTAATGAAAATGAAGAATTTGCTGAGCCACATCAACAATTTGATTCTTCTGTCTTACAAGAAAGTACAACAAGTCAAAGTACAACAAATTAAAATGCGGATCTCATAACCATACTAGATCAAAGAGAACTCCTTCTTGGCATGATAATTGTCACGCCCCCGGCCGATTGCGGAAACGCCGGGCTGTGCAACGTAGGGATATTGGACCGAGACACACATATATATTGAAAATTACATAGAAATATAACACAAACGATACTTTTATTTATCATAATTTATTTGGGATTACATTGTTTAATAGATCAAGCACACATCCTAAACATAAGTAGAAATGACAAACAAATAGAAATAAACTTCAGCAAGCTTCCTTGACGACATCTTCCTCTGCACGACTATCCTTCACACTTATCTTCTGAGAATACATGTATTTTGAAAACGTCAACATAATGTTGGTGAGTTCACAAATTTTTATAGTTTTCTCATTTCTGCTGTATTTGATTGTATTTTAAGAATGTTTTTTATTTTTAGAAAAAACTTTCTATCTTAGTTAAGATATCGTACCGACCTTAGCTTATTATCTTTATAGGATATTTTACCTACCATATCTTACTATTTTTATATTTTTAGGATATTTTATTATTCTTAATGTATTTTATGTGTTACTCAAAGGTGTCCCTCTAGGTAGTCGGATCTCTGAGGTGGTTGTAATGTATTACCATGAGCCCCCATAATCGACACTATAGACTAATAATTTGTGACATCCCAATTTTCACGGCCAGAAAAGACCGATTTGTTTATGCTTTATTTTGAAAATCAGAGTAACCTTTTAAAGAAAAGAGTTGCGGAATTTGTTCCCAGAAAAACATGATAAATGTGTTATCAAAGCATTTCCGAAGAAATGTATTTTATTCCTTTTAAAACTTTGGGATGTCATTGTCAACACAGAAACATAAGCATAAACAGACCTTACATTCTTTTACACTAGTGATCTACATCTCTTTTAAATCTCTCAGTGTAAAGTAGCTTCATATCGACACATGTGATACAAATAAACTTGAGTGGGTCAGGTTGGGAAACCTGGTGAGCACATAAGATTTTCAACCCACAATAATATAATTATTATGTTTAAACATCAAACAATCAACCCAATTACCCATCCCCATTATCTTCTTTACTCTTAAGGGTCTACCCTAAGAATCATCTATCCTGCATTTGTTTATTCCGAAGTCCATTGCTTCCAGGGTTTATATGGCAGGCACTAAGTCCATAACTGCCAATGCTCGTTCGTAAAGCACTAATTCCATAGCTGCTAAAGTTCAATCATCGGGTACTAAATCCATAGCTACCAGTGTTTATCTAATAGGTACTAAGTCCATAGCTACCAATGTTTATCTAACAGGTACTAAGTCCATAGCTACCAGCGTTAATCTAATATGTACTAAGTCCATAGCAACCAACGTTTATCTAACATGTACTAAGTCCAAAGCTACCAACGTTTATCTCATAGGTACTAAGTCCATAGTTACTATCGTTTCTCTAACAGGTACTAAGTCCATAGCTACCAGTGTTTATCTAATAGGCACTAAGTCCATAGCTGTCGATGTTATTTATTAGACACTAAGTCTATAGCTGCCAATGTTTTCTCATACCATCTTTCATCTCTCATCGTTCATCTACCCATGTTTTATCCAATATATTCGTAGATATAAAATACATATACAGTTTAAATCATTTAAAACATGTATGAAATCGTTCATCTAGCATAGAAAGCAAGTATTCAAATAATATGCACACATAGCACGTAATTTATATAAAATACTTCATATCTATGTCTAAGATGAAAGTAACTATGCACTCACTTGTTAAAGTGATGATTCCAAACTCGGGCAGCGCTTCGCTTTTAACGATTCTATTTTCCTTTGACGAAACCTAGCGTTATTATCGCTAAGTTTTAATCTAATCTTTATTGCGACTAATTATTAGTCTAGATTCATCATTAACTCAAAGTCTACTTTCATGATCTATCAAGTAAGGAACAACCAGGTACGATCATATCAGAGGTAGGGTCCGTTTGGTATATGAAGTATACTGTTTTGAAATCCCACTTTAAACACCTCACTAAATCACAGCCTAGACATCATTCCCGTAAGTAGATTAATCAGTATAACGACTTTGAATCACTGATAAATCTTATTTCTAGGTTCATAATAACAATATTATATTTAAATATAAGCTATATTTAAAGTATGGTAGGCTTATTTCACTTACAGCGGATTTTATTAAAAACCAGGCTCCGCTGGAGCAAAGCTTCTGAGCCGAAAAGCTCTTTTTCTCGAAGCCTTCGTGTGCTCCAGGGCTTTCTTCTAGCGTTAGGGAAGTTTCCTAGGCTTTAGGGGGGTTTAGAGAGTCTAGAGAGAAGTTAGAGAGAGAAAGAAAGGCTTATGGTGTGAAGAAAATATGAAGAGTTCATCTCTTATTTATAGGGGTTTTCTCGTAGAGTAGGCCATAAGTTTCGTCCGTATCTTCTCCGTACGAGCTCCGTTTTCTACGTTCTTTATATCCACGCGTTGGTATTTACGAATACTACAACTTTCATTTAGACCTCGTCGGCTAATTCTCATTCTATCTCCGATTTGCAAAACTATATCGAATTTATCGCGCTCGAAGAGTAGGGACTATGTTTCGTCCATATCTTTCGCATACGAGCTCTATTATCGACGCTATTTATATCCACGCGTTGGTATTTATGAGTACTAAAACTTGCATTTAGATCCCGTCAGCTAATTCTCACTCTATCTCAGATTTACAAAACTGTATCGAATTTGCCGCGCTCGAAGAGTAGGGACTAAGTTTCGTCCATATCTTTCGCATACGAGCTCCGTTTTCGTCTATCTTTTTATCGTTGAACTCCTATTAACGAGATCTTCAATTCTCCTTTAGACTGTTTTGGTTAAAAATTGACCGATCTAAAATTCGAATTTCGAGTTGTGCACTGTTATGCTAAATCTTAAAAAAATCATAACTTCCTCATACGAAGTCAGATGCACACTCTCGGTTTAACATATACTACGAATTTCATTTAGATTGCTAAGGCTAGAAAGTATTTTATCATAAATTCGCTTTTTACGATTCTCGGTGTCGTGCCGGTTTTGCCGTAAAACTTCGACAGGTCATAACTTCTTCGTTATAATTCGGATTCCAGCGTTCTATATATGTACGGAACTCTTGTGACATATACTATAAGTTGGTCAAGATTATTTCTTCTAAATAATCTTTTATCAAAAAAGTTATCTTTGACGCTTATTGTCTCTAAATTGACTAACCCGAATCTGCGGGTGTTACATAATTTCCCCGCATGACGCTTCATCGGACGTTGAATAGTGCTTGAATAATAAAGAAAGTTATCCTTCCGGGATTGTAGCTAGCAATCGCATGTGGGGGTGTCAAACCCCGTATAGATCTATACATATCTTTTCTGGCTTTCGCAAGATTAACAATTATAGGTTCAGGTGAGCCGAATTTAATCAGGCTAAGGATGAATAATAACAACTCAGTAACGCATTAACCTTAGGTGTTTTATCTTTTATCTTTCTTTCTTAGTGATTTCCTATAACTATTATAATATAAATCTTTTACTTTATATTTGATAATTAAAACTTATAGCTCTCATAATTATCTTTTATATATATATATATATATATATATATATATATATATATATATATATATATATATATATATATACATACCCTATTTATGTTTAATTTGAAACATGATATTTGGGCAGAGTAACGATTAGGTACATTGCATATACCTATAGTTGACCAACATCACTTCTAGGTACTGTGTTATCCTAGGGAATTGGCCATCATAACATCTAGGTAATATCTCTTCGTAGACTATCGGACATCATAACTCTTAGGCATAATATCATAGCTTACAACTACGTATAGTATCTATGGTTACATTATCCTAAGGTTGCGTGCTTTATATAACTATTGATATTTATAGATATAAATATATTTTGATAAAGCAGTTTGATAAACATGTATCCCCCCCGGTAAAATCTTTAAAATAGTGAAATGGGGTCGTGAACTCACCTTTGACGTGTGAGATCGTTGATTTAGGGTTGAATCGGGCGTGGGATTCCGGGGGCCGCTCCAGAAATATAACAAATTTGAGGATTGAGAGAGTGATTCAGAGAGAGGTGTGCAGAATGGGATCTGCATTGACTTCTATTTATAGGCATGAAATTTGGGTGCGCGCGACGCAATGATCTTGTGTGTCGCGCGTGATCATCATGGCTTCATCCAGAGACTGCCACGCGTCACTTCCCCAATTGGCCACGTTACTCGCAATCTACGCGAATCCGGTGTTAGGTGCACGAAGAGCATATGCTAGCACCTCACACACACGAAATGATTTTGTAAAAATCATAACTCTTTCGTGCGAGCTTCGATCTAAGCCCTCTTTATATCTATGTAATATTAGATCTCAAGGAGTACTACAACTCTCATTTAGGTTGTATTACCTATTTTTGACTTTCATTTTTGTGCCTAACGGGGGTAAGAATAAATGATTTTACAAAAATCATATCTCTCTCATACGGATCCCGTTTTCGACATTCCTTGTCCTAAAGTTTATATCTTAAGGAGTACTATAAATCTCCTTTTTTGCACTTTTAGTCAAAACTCAACCAATCTCTAAGTACCGTTTTGACGTA